TAAAAAACGTTGTCAAATTCTAACAATCAAAATATATTTAAAAAAAAACTTTTTTTAATGTTTAACCCACCATCTTGAAAACAAAGAATTTCCAGCCGAGATGCAGGTTTTTTGAAACACCTTGTGTCCTTGTATTTATGGGTATCTTTTTTATTTGAAGCAACGTTAAATTAGACGAAAGTTGCGTAATTAGCAAGGTCCGGATTTTAGGCAAAATGCCTTTTTGTTTCTATTTTAGGCATTTTTTTGGGACCTTGAAATTAATTCTTAACTTAAAAAAATAAAGCGTTTGACACCCCTTTGTTTTTGCCTAAAAGCCTAAAATGGCGAAATTTTGATTTATTGTCCTAAAAGGACATTTTTACGAGCCTAAAATAGGCTATTTTAATTTTTCAGAAAAAATATATTTTCATTGCGGAATATTAAATTATTCTTAATTAGACCCTGCTTTCATGCTCATATTTCGCCTAGACGCCCTTGGCGAGTACGAGGACCATAAAGTACAAAACTAGTGAAAACCTAATAAAAAGTAATTGTGTTTTTGCTATCTAAATATTTATTATAAATAATTAGGAATAATATCAAGTAAATAATAGTTGAAAAAATTACTTTGTTTTCATAGGTTTTACTGTATTTTCCATAAAAGTGCTTATGTTATATTTATATTTTTCTCGAAAAAACCCCTGAACACGTAAACTAAAATATAAGTTAAAGTATTTTTATCCAAAATTTTATAAAACGCCTTACTCTAAACAGTTGCCAAAAGATTTGCTTTAAATTTGACAAGTAAGGTTTTCCTTTTCTTTATTCATACGGGCAATTGTTTGAATGAGTTTGTGTTATTATTTTTATTATGTATTTTATATTAAGAGATACATATGTATTTTTTGTTTTATTTTTATGGATAGGACCTGAATAAATGTTATGTTTAATCGTGTTGTTTTTATTTCATATCGCCTATTTTATGCGGTTGATGCCTATTTTAGGCACTTTCGGCCTAAAACGGCCTAAAATGTAGGTTTTTATTGCCTATTTTATGTCCTAATTTCCAATTTTTAAGGTCCTAAAATCCGTTCTTTGGTAATTCGTCTATTAAAATGGCATTTTAAAATTAAAAAAGTAAATTGGGGGTTCTCAAATAATTTAAAAAAAACTGAAATCCTCTCAAAATTACTGGGAATTTTCAAAAAAGTGTTACATGTAAATATATACATTTATCTATACGAGTATTTTTATCCAATTTGTGATTTTTTGCGCCTATACTAGATTTTGAGATTACACCACCAACTTTTGTTTTTACTATGGCCGTCATTTACTATGGCGTATTGGAATTTTACATGGTTAAATAGAAGAAAAAAAAGGAATTTAGTTTTTTTAAATATTTTGAAAACCGCTGGCTTTTTTTTTCCAATTTATAATTTTCATTTCAATACGCAACTTTTCTCTAATTTGTCCTAAAACAAAATACCCATAGAAGTACACCTATATCCTCCTGTATATTGTGTTATATAAATTGGATGTCTTATTTTAAGTAATAATTTATTAGGGTGTTATTTTGACCATTTGAAAATTTTAACCATTCTACATGAAAAATATATTCAACTTTAAGCTTAATCCAAAAACGAAACGTAAAAACATTTTTTTTTTATAAAATTTATATTTTTGTAGGATGGATAAAATACCAAAACCATAAACATAATATCTGTATCCATTTTAGCAAAGTTTGTATGTGTACAGTTCATATAAAACATCTTTTATAATAAATAACTTAGTGACATTATCTATGTACCATAAATTTAAATTGCATTACTGAAAGTTATAAGTTTTAGATACTAACTAAACTGTTGACAGAAAAAGCGGCAAATTTGTGTTTCCCCAGCTGACCATACAAGAATATTAGATTAAATTTGTAATGATTAAACTTCTTAAAGCAATCTCATAAAACACGCAAATAAAAAAGAATATTTATTGCGAATTTACTTTTAGTCTGCGGTTCTTTGGTTATTTAAAATTACGCTATACATCGTACATTGTACATTGTACAACCTAGCAGTTTTGTTTCAATAATCAATTAATGAAACTCATTAACTAATTACATTCAGAAATAAACAGAAATAACCACGTTATTTTTATAATTACATTATTAACAACTAGCCACTATAATTAAATCCATCAACCAAATTTATTACGCCAATTTCACCAACTCTTTCTCCCATTTTAAATTTAATTTAAATATCAAAGTAAAATATGAAAAATTCTCTTAAATACTAAAACGTTGAAAATTGTCAAACTAAATAAATATGTACTATTAAATTTTATATCTTTGCTAAGTACCTGTAATTTTTTTTAATTTATTTAAAATAATAAAATTAAAAATAACTATGTATATTAATATGTATAAAAGAATTTTAAAACATAAAAAATTTGATTGATTTAAATAGGTTTTTATATAAATACAATTTATATAAAAATAACACTATTTCGAAAGAGCGATATTCATCTATTTGTGCTCTTCTATTTTTATTTAAAAATCTCCTACATTACAATATTTTTAAGATTTTACATAAAACATAATGTAATATTAATTTACAAACTCCACACTGACATTTAGAGGGTTAAAATTTTTATACAGTCTCATATTTAACCCTTGGGAATAAGGTTATCTTACAGTTTATGAATATGGGAACTGGGGTTTTATACACCTAACGCATGGGTATACATTTTTAAATAACTTTTAAAACAACCAAAATGAACATGTATAAGAAGGGTAAGAATACATTATTATTTTGTAATTTAAGAAAATAAAACTTTTATTTCACAATATTAAAAGTGTTTTTCAAACCAAGGTGTCGAATTTTCATTATAAATGTGCATCACCATACAAAAATTCCAAAGAAAAAAGTTTGTAAATTACGTAAATGAATAATAAACCGTCAAAAAATAAATAATAAATTTAGGAAATTTTTGGATTCGTAGATTATATTTTTTAACGAAATATTAATTTAAAATAAGTTTTTGTGATTTTGACATAAAGACTTAACTTCTTTCAGAAAAACTGAAGTAACTTGTGTTTCAAAGGCCTATTTTTCTATATTAAAGATCTAAAAATAATTTTCCGGTACCCCTTCTAAAACTTAGAGTGCTCAGCGCCAATTAAAATTCATGCAGCGTGCGACTTTTAATACAAGCTAGGTGTTTAACCCGGTGCGGTAACATGTTTCAAGGCAAAACATAAGCAATAATGCAAGCATTTTGAATACACAAACACTTCTGGGGGATAACTACAATGAAAAAGAACATGGAAATCAAGATGCAGAAGTCTAATAAGTTTAATAATTATTCTTACAACAAAAAAACGTTGTGTTTTGTTTTTGAATTAATTTTATATATACATATATGTAAATTTGTTTAATTTCTACAGGATAAAAAAAACATTTTTTTTTCTGCACCCAACATGTTTCCATGACATTGTGGCTTTATGGCGTTTTAGTCACGGGCTGAAGTTTAGTTGACAGTTGTCAAATATCATACAATCGTTAAAATAAAGTGCCATTCTGAAATAATAATATGGACACTATTTGATTATCTTAATACAAAAATAAAAAGTATTAAATAGCTTATCTCAATAGACCTATTTGAAAAGTTTATATGCAAGTTTGTACTGACCTTTTGATTTTGCCGGCGGTTAACTAGATTTAACTCAAAGTTTTAAAAATTTCTTCACTTTCACTGCGAAAAACTGCTTTTATATCATCATTTAAATTGTTGTTAGTTCATTTTTAAGGGATAAATTTCGATTTACACATACAAATTTGACATTTTGACTGCGCGCTGGTAATACAGATTCTCATGTTAGAAATTGTTACGCGAGTTACTCTATTTTTATTTTACTCTATGTCGCTCTATATAAATATTAAATTAAATTAAATTTAATTTCGTTACTAAAATACATAATTTACTATTATCTTACTAATTTAAAATTTAAAGTAGTATAATAATTAAAAACGTAAGGACCACCTTAAATTTATGACAAGCTTATAAAAAAAAAAATAATTACAAGAAGGTAAATTGATTATAAGCTAAAATGATGACGAGCTAAAATGGTGACTAGCTTTAATAATACCACGTAGATTTTTAATAAATGATTTTTTAAATATTCTATCATCGGATGACAGAATAAACACTCGTGGCGACATCTCTGTTTTTAATATCTAGCAAATTTTAGACCGATCCAACCTCACTTTCTTCCTATTAAATTATTTTTATATGGTATTTTTTGGAAAAAAAATGAATTCTTAGGCATATATTTACGCATTTTGATCAAAGGAATAAAAAATATGTGTACAAAAATCCAAAGTGAAAAATTGGATTATTAACTACATTAAGGGGCGTGGGTTTTGAGATATTTTCTTTATGGTTTTATTTTATTCTCATATTTTACCAAACCGCCTTACTACGCACCGTTAAAATTAACATTTGAAAAAAAAATCATAGTAATTATATATAGAAGACAAAAACTTTTACCTTAAATTGGATTGTACATATTTTTAGAAAACTACAGTATAGGGTAAATGTACCGGTTGTGGCCACATTAAGCAACTTTTGAATTTCAATTAAACATAACTTTCGCATATATATCTGTTTTAACACGTCAGATACACAACAAGAAACGCGACAGGTTCCTGAACCGAAAGCTTATGAGCTAAATAAGGTAGGAAATATCTAACGTATCAAAAAATTAAACAAGAGCGAAAAGCGTTCATTTCACCAGTTGTGACCACCTTTGTACCGGTTGTGGTCACGGATTTCACCAGTTGTGGCCACTTAACAATTTGTGTATAGGTATTAAAATGTTTATTATAGGTATAGGTATTGAAATGTTTATTATAGGTATTAAAATGTTTATTAACAAAAAATATAATTCTCATGTACTTACATAGGTACTAACAAAACTTAAGCACATTTCTAGTCTTAACTATCCGGGTATACAAATTACCTACCTAATTGTCATTCATAAAGTCTCTCATTTTTGGCACCGAAAAAACACCTCTTGTATTAATGAGTTTCGGTTCCTTAATCTTCAATAAAACATCATCTGCTGGGTACCACAACAAATCATTTTTATCTGGCCATTTCCATCTATTTGCACCACTTTTTGACATAGCACAGCAATAATACTCATTTTCTCTTTGATTGACAACTTTAGCAGGATAATATTCTTTATCATACCTCACAATTACGTAATTCCCTATTCCAATCTCTTCATTGCTGTTGTTTACCAGCACATCAACTTCATTGCTTACATCTTCATGCCCCAGATTTTCCTTTTCCTCCTCTGCTTGGTTACTATTTTTCATCTGCGTTTTATTACATTTTTTCTTTTCTGAACTCTTTAACTGCTTCTGTAATCTTTTATTCTTAATAGTCGTTTCCTTTGCCAACTTTTCATTGTCTTTCGCCGTCATTATTTCAATCCATTTATCCGATGTGACCACAGCTGGCAAAGGGTTCTTATTTTTATTTCTTTTTACAGACTCTTCCTGTTCAGGAAATATAACCACTTCTTTTAAGACTTGACTTACAGTTCTTTTCTGAAAATGTCTTGTCGCTTTGTCATTATCTACAATTTCCTCGCTTAATTTAACTTCAGAGTCATGTTTCGGTAGGCTCTTGTCTGAAGAATCCCCTTGTCCTTCCTCAACAAATGTGCTTTCGCATTGGTCTATACTATTGCTTAAATCATCGTCAAATGTTACAGGAGTTTCATCGTCAGATTTGAGAGGGCCGCTATCTTTCTTAGGGCATATGACTATATCTTGAAGGATATTTATCTTAGGTGTCTCGAAGTCAGTTTTATTGAAATAAATTTCTGCTTCGTGTTCTTCATTGGCAAGTAATTCCGGGAAGTCAAAGATCAGAATATCATTAACATCAGTTACGTATTCCGAATTAGTTGCGGGAACCGATGGAATAATGACACCACGAACCTTTTCAGTAGTTGTTTTCCATAAATTGTATAATTCCTGGCATCGTTCTTCTCCAGACCAGTATAAATGGTTGTTGAACGTTGATTGGAAATTGGCCAATGTTACTGGATCTATGCGCATTTCCAAAGCGTTCAGAAACTTTAATTCGTTTTCTGAAGTCTCTGCGACAGTTTCTTCACATCTAACATTGGTACCTCTCTTAATGCATTTCTCATAGTGGGGTGCATTTTCATTAAATGGAAATAAACCGCAAGTGCGAAATCCAGAAATGAGGGTTTCAGAGAAATCTTTCTCAGTCAATATGGTATTTAATGCCGTGGGAATGTCCTTTTTCTGAACGTTCTCGCCATTGTGGTCTAAACGCCATTTTCGAGCGACATGTTTCCAGGCCTGTTTTAAGGGGAAAAAAAAGGCAACATCTAGGGGCTGCATAATGTGAGTAGTATTCGGAGGCAAACAAATTAGGATGATTCCATTTGAACGACATAAGTTGCTCAGATGCAAGGATAAATGTGAGGCGTGGCCATCCATAAACACTACGACAGGTCTATTAATATTATTTTCGCTCAGAAAATTAATAAATATGTTGGCGAAATATTCGAAAAATTGCTTACATTGCATCCAACCGCTATCTGAAATACCAATGCCCCAATCCTTTGGAGCGCTAGTGGCATATATTTTTGGTAATCGTTTAAATTTAAATATAGTTAATGGAGGCGCAATCAGACCGGCGGCATTGGCAGCAATTAGTGTAGTGACATTGTCTTTTTCGGAAGAACTAATGTCGTACAAATCTTTTCCCTTTTCACCAAGTACCAGAGAACCTTTGGGACTTAAAAATATGGCGGTCTCATCCATATTGAAAATTCGCATAGGATGATTCAGTACTTCGACGTCTTGACCTAATAAATTTTTCACATCCGAAAACCAACGCCTGATACTCGTTTCCGATGCTGCTGCTCTTCCTTTATTAATGAACTCCGCGTGTCTCTTACTGATTGTTGGGTGACGTTTAAGGAAAGACTGGAACCATTTTCTTCCTGGTGTATTATTGATAAATTTCGTGCTTAGGTTCAGCTCTTGTACTAGTTTCACAACGGAGTATTGTAAACCCTCTCTGGTCATTGGGAAACCCCTGGCGGCCATATCAAGGATCCAATCAACTAATTTTTTTTCCACTTCTTCTCCTAGGGTGCTTAAAGGACCAACCCGGCGGCAATTGTCGGGGGTTTTCCCAGCTAACCGATGACGAACGGAGCTTCTGGGGACATTGAAAGTCTTGCAAGCAGTTGCAACAGGAACTTTATCTTCTCTAATTGCATTTAGAGCGTTTTGCATTGATTGCTCAGAATACTGAAATAATTTTCGGGAATTCTTGGACATCTAAAAGAGAAAATAAATACACATAGGCTATTTAGAAATTGCTATTTCCATCCTTTACTGACAGATGGCCACAAATGGGGTTTCGTGTTCTATTTGTGGCCATAGGGTGGCCACATCTAGATTTTAAGTAATTTGTTGTTCCATTTGTGGCCATTCAATTAATATTCACTAACAGGTTATAAACGTACAAATAACTAGTAAAATGATGTTCCTTAAACAATTTTGAACAAACTGTAGCCAGTTTTTCTTAAATTTATTGCAAAATAAGTAAGAAAAAAAATAAAATTTACCTTGCCTTCCTTAACACATCTCTTAACAAAACCGTGTTTTCTACGTAGACCAATCAAAATAACTAACCGCTTAAACTCTGCAGACACTATTTAAGCAATGACACTGGCGCAGTTGGCGCTAGGTGTATCTTGGACCCGGGAAATTTAAAAACCGTTTTGCTATATGCTTTCTGGAAGAACATAAATCGGATTAAAACCGCAAGTGGCCACAACAGGTACGATGGCCACAACCGGTACATTTACCCTAACCTATGAATAAAAGAGCAAAAATATTTAAAAGTTTAATTTTGCTACTTGTACATAAACGGTCATAACGTTGATATTTATTCATAGGTTTTTTTATGCACAAAAGATTATTTAAAATGTTATTAAATTTGTAAAAAATGTAATACCTACTCTGTAAAAATGAATTAGTCAAAAATGACCAATTTAATAGTTAGTCATTTAATATGAAATTGACTATCTCAAAAACTGCTCCACTTTTATAATTTTTGACGGTGTTTTCGGTTTCACGGGACAGTTTTGAATAAGAATTGGCTGTTAAATTTCGGAATACCATGGTATTCCATGGTTAACCATGGTACAAGTGAAATAGCAGCCACTAATAACTATTAAATTAGTCATTTTTGACTAATTCATTTTTAGAGAGTACCAAATTATCAAGAACGTTTAATGTAGGTATACATACGATATTTAGTAAAAAATAATTAATACTTAAGTATACTTTAATTTTGCTGCATAGTTGTTATTTAGCGGTTAAAAAATACTTAATTAAGATTAACAAGTAAAATTATAAACCTAAATGATAATAAGCCATAGTGATTATTATTATTATTATTATACAGGGTGTTTGGTAACTAGAGGACAAAAATGAAACAGCATAAAAAAAGAATATTTTTTCCAGATATTTTAAGTTAAAAAGCATTGGTTTGTGTTTTTTCTTATTATAATTCCAAACTTTTTAAAAAATACAACAAATGTTAAAAAAGCCCAGCATGTATGTTGATGCACGCCTGGTAACGCGAAACTGACTTTGCCCTGAATTTGTTGTACAGAGCTGAATATTTTTTCTTTTTATAATTGATAATGGTATTAATTTGCTCTTCATAAACTAATTGTTACCCTACAGATAAAAGTCGAGCGAATTTATGTAGATCAAACTGTCAGGTAAAAATGTATTCTTTGTTTTATGCTTAGATTTAGATTTTACATATAATATTTAAAATAAAAGGGCATGTTTTTAAATTTTTTAACATCCTAAAATCTGGTCTCGGCTTGTGAAAAAATTATATATTTAACTCGATGGAGATATTGATTTCAAATTATTTTTAATCAAGACCATGCTTGGGTGCAGTTAAATTTTGACTTTAGTCTACTTATGAATCCGTGCAAAGTCCATAACCAGCATGTGCATGTTGGCAACTACCATAATCATAGAACAGGTTGGGGAGAAACACTTGGGAAAACGTGTTACACGTATTAAAATTAAACGTAGCGGAGCGTGAGAAAAGGGATTTTCTGATACGTGTCACCTTAAAAATTATAAACAATTTTCTGAAATTGTTTGTCATTACATGTTGTTAAGTAATAAAATAAAATATCGATTTATAATGAAAGTTTTTTATATTGCTGAAAAGCAATTTTAACGCTATTGCCATTTTAAATTCCTGTGCACCATGGAGTTTAGTTTGCAAATATGAGAAATACACTTTTTTGTATAATTGTTTTATTTCATAAAAGTTGTCAAAAATGATGACTGAAAGACTAAATACCTAAGCTAAATTAAGGATAACCAAAAATAATTACAAGCTTATTATGGATTATAAAGTAATATTGAAAATAAAATTATGACCAGCCGTATATCGGCAATATCCCGACGAATGATGTATGGTTCAACATCTATGGTTTACAACCAGACTAGCTACTCCCTATAATTCCACAGAAAAAACATCTTTAGGTGTGATTATCGAATGTTTTCTGAAATAAATTAATGTGCTGCGTAATTGTGTCATTTTGCTGCCATTTGTTAAAAGCATCGTAATTTAATTGAGTAACAAAAAATTCACTTATCAATCTCTACAGAGGTTTCCATTGACTGTAACGTTCGAGCCGGTCATCTTTGAAGAAATATTTGATAACTTTTACTGATTTTAGTAAAAGTAGACTCTCTAAAAATGAATTAGTCAAAAATGACTAATTTAATAGTTTAATAGTTATTATAATACTACTACAGTAGCTGCTTTTTCACTTGTACCATGGGTTACCATGAAATTCCATATTATTCCAAAATTTAACAGCAAATTCTTATGTAAAATTGTCCCCTGAATCCGAAAATTTAAAGTTAAAAAAGTAGAACAATTTTTGAGATATAGTCAATTATCCATTTAATATGGAATTGACTATATCTCAAAAACTGATCAACTTTTATAATTTTTGATTTTCGGATTCAGGGGACAATTTTACATAAGAATTGGTTGTTAAATTTTGGGATACAATGGTATTCCATGGTTAACCATGGTACAAGTAAAAAAGCAGCCACTAATAACTATTAAATTAGTCATTTTTGACTAATTGAAATGTTCGTCAAAAGAACACCAGATTCATTTAAGTGAAATTTTTAACATAAAATATTATGTTTTTATTCTCCCCTCTACTAAATTGAATCTTTATATCTTGATAAGGCCCATAAACGGCTATTTTAAATTTTCAAGGTCACCCCTTTTTGGAGCACTTCAATAATGCAAAAATTGCGGGATGAGGTGGAATTTTTATTTATTCCTTCAGCAGGTTTCCACCAGAAGGTTCTGCTCTTTTTTACCTATCTTACAATAATTGTTTTTAGATTAATAAAGGCACAACCGCACATAGGCCTGTTCCTGGCGAGCGTGCAGTGCGTGCACGCACGCAGGCGCAACATTTTGGGGGCGCAAAATCAAAGAGTCAATCAGTACTTTGGAACGATAAACTTTCTTGCATATAATTACTTAAACGTAGATAGGATATAGGTTACCGCCCTTTTTTTGCGCCATAAAGCGCCTTTTGCCGCTTTGATATTGGCGGCTTATTTTTTTATATGAGGATCAAAATAAAAGGAGACAAATGGTCATAATATTTTTAGTATTTGTTTGATAGTTGTAGTTGACGGTAGCAAAGTTTAACAGTGGTCTACACAGTGCATGACTTTAATAATAATAATAATAATAATAATAATAATGTTTATTGTGCAAAAAAAAATACAATTTCTTACACAAATGGATGTAGTTAGCTTAGCTATCTTACACTACATCCAACAAAAAAAAACACATTGAGTCCTTAAACAAAATATAAATTACCTACATTTATTACAAAAAAAAACAGATAAAAAAAAATTAAAACTATAAGCAATTATTAATTCAAACTAAATTCAATCTTTGATTAGACAATATAAATAGCTTCAATAATTTTTTAAATTGTATAAAGGAACAGCCCAAAATAGAAAAAACTTGATTCAGGTAGAAAGGTGCCAAATAACTGAAACTTCCCTCAAATTTACTAGTTCTGTGAACTGGTATTGAAAATGTGTTGTATCTGATGTTTACTGTGTGTGTATTTGAACGTGTTTCTATTAAAGTAAATAGATACAAAGGCTTCTGATATTTAAGCAACTTATAGAGGAACGATGTGATTAAATATGTCATTCTTTCATTAATTTTAAATTCGTTCATATTTAAGATATATGGAGTTAAATGCTCTCTATAAGGTATGCAACATACGAATCTCATGCAAGCATTCTGAATGCGTTGTAATTTTAATTTGTTATATTGAGTTAAATAATTGTAATAAACCACGGAACAATAGTCAATGTGCGGCAGTATCAGACTTTTCACAAGTTTTAATTTAGTAGCACTGTCAAGCTCTTGTTTGAATTTATACATATTTTTTAATTTAAAAAAACATTGCTTAATAATGTGATTTACATGAAATGTGAATGATAATTCAGAGTCAAATATTACTCCCAAATTTTTAGCAAGATTTACCCACTCAATATCATTAGATCCGAGCGTCAAATGACCATAATAAGTGATTGCCTCTCGCCTTTTCTTTGGACCAATACAAAGAGCTACAGATTTGTCTGGATTTAATTTTAAGCCATGTTTGCTACAATATTCAAACAAGTGTTTCAGATCTAGGTTAGTTGCATTAAAAAAGTGTTCCAAGGACATATCTTGCCCTAGTTCTTTATAAAGTTGTAAATCATCAGCATACATGTGGACAGAGCACGACGAAAAAATATTCTGCAAATCAAAAGTATACAGAGAAAATATTAGAGGTCCCAATATACTTCCCTGGGGTACACCAGACAATGTTGTTTTTAGGCAGGAATATATATCTTTATTTATAACCACTTTTTGCTGACGTCCAGTAATGTAGCTTGTAATGAATTTTAACGATTCAGATTTAAACCCTAAGTACTGCAATTTAGCAAACAACATGCTGAAATTTACTAAATCAAATGCCTTGCTTTGATCTAAAAGGATCAAAGCTGTGGGGCAACCCTTGTCCCAAGATGAGGCTATATCGTTGGACACCTTTAATAATGCCGTACTAGTGCTGTGTTTTTCTCTGAATCCAGACTGAATTGGAGGAATGATACTATGTTTGTTCAAATAGCTTATTATTTGGGTATAAATGATTTTTTCAAATATCTTTGAAATTGCTGGCAAAATAGAAATAGGGCGCAGTTCGTTAAACGAAGTAGGGTTAGATACTTTACAAAGAGGTATCACATTGGCAATTTTCCATAAATGTGGAAAAACGCCATCTTCAATAGATGAATTAAATAAATGCTGTATTTCATTAACGCAATATGGTAACACAATATTTAACATTTTAATATTAATTTCGTCAATACCTGTTGCTTTTGATTTAATTGTTTTCAATGCCTTAAAAATGTCTGCCTGTGAAACAAATTCAAAATTAAAAGCAATATTTTCTTTATATTTATTACGAGTATAAAATAGACACAACTTATTATCAACAGTAGACTGCCCAGCAACAGTTAAAAAATAGTTATTTATTTCATCCGGCCGTTGCAGTTCTTTTGGTACCGTTTGTTTAAATGATTTTGATGTATTTACCCCCCAATTATTTAAAGTTCTCCACATTTCCTGGGAATTATTTGAATGGTGACGTAGCATAAAATTGATGTAACATGATTTTTCTCTTTTTATTGCAGCACTGATATAATCTCTTAGAGTAATATAATATTGTTTATGAGTTTCGCTTTTAGTTCTTAAATATCGATTATGCGCTTTATTTCTGATTTTTATCATCTGTTTAATATTATAGGTTATGTAGGGAAGGTGTTTATGTTTATTTTGGTTAACAGTTTTCGAAATTTCGGGAGCATGACAGTTAAATAGTGAAACAATTTGTTCATTTAAAAATTCTACTTTCATATTAATGTCTAATAATTGATATATATTATTCCATGGAATATTATGTACCGCATCTATGGCAAAAGCATTCAGGTCAATGTCTTTGAAATTCCTATATTGTATATTTTTTGCACTTACCTTTGGACTTTCCAATAAAATTTCGCAATAAACCATCAAGTGATTTGATATATTAAAAACATCCATCGTTCCCCTATTCAAAATACTAAATTTGCTACTTAAACATAAAACATCGATCAAAGTTTCGCTATGCGTCGTTATATGCGTGGGATCCCGAATTATCTGGCACACATCATACTGAAAAATTAAACTATTAAATAATTCTGCATCTTTTGAGTCACTCAAAAGATTAATATTAATGTCTCCACCAAAAATAATAGAGTCAGTCACAAAATATAATTGTTCCACCACATTATTTAGTTCTTCAAGACAACGCTTTACATTGGAATCAGGTGGTCTATAAACAACACCCAGTCCTACTTTTTGTTTTGAAAACTCAATAATTATCCACAATTGTTCTAAAAAACTTCCCTCTTCAGACGAAAAAAAAGTTCTAAACTTAAAATGATTTTTTAAATAAATAGCCACCCCTCCACCAACTCTATGTTGTCGATCACAGCGAATAATGTTGTAGTTTGGAATGGTCACTCCACTATCCGAATAGTCTTTCTTTAGCCAAGTTTCTGTTACTCCAATAATGGATATGTTTTTATTAAGTACAATATCTTTAAAAGTATGAAAGCAGTTATTTATAGATCTAATATTTAGGTATGCGAGGCTAGTTTTTACTTTTTTCCCTTGGATATTACGGGATTTCCATTCACATATTTTATGTACATGTCAGTCTCTCCAGACTGTTTATGCTGCTCAATTTTTTCCAGTAGACTTTTAAAATGTTGTCTTTGCAGAGGCGTTTTATCTGTTGTAATCTGAATTTTCAATTCCTGAGTCTTTAGTTTATGTTTGTTTTTTAAAACAGTATACACATCTTCTTTTTTTATCAATTCAATTTTTAAAGGCCTGACTGAGTTACTATTTTCCTTGCCAAGTCTTCTTGTGATTTTAATCATAATGTCCTCGTTCGTAATGTTTGACAAAATTTCTTTGATTTTACACTCATCAGTTGTTTCCGATTCCGGGAGATTAAAAATGATCAAATTATTTTCTCTTTTCTTTCTTTCTGCGATTTCGGTGATGATATCTTCAAAATTTTCCGTTGCCTTTGTTTCTTGCCTTGATGCTATCTGTTTTTGTAAAGTTTCCACAGTTGCCTGCAACGACTTAATAATTTCATACAGATCTGTAATTTGTATGCTTTGTTGGCTACGACAATTTTCACACTTATATAGTGTCCCTCGTATATCATTAAACATTGTGAAGAGCTTACTCTCTAAAATAGAAATAGTCAAAAATGACTAATTTAATTAGTTCAATTGCCATAGCGAAAAAGCAGAGACTAATAATTATCGTAAATAGAAATAGTCAACTCCTATGTAAAATTGTATGCTGACTCCGAAAATGTCGTCAAAAGTTATAAAAGTAGAACGTTTTTGAGATTTAGTAAATTATCCATATAATGTAGAATTGACTTTATCTTAAAAACTGCTTTACTTCCATAATTTTACATAATAATAAGCTGTTAAATGTCGTGAATACAAATTCCTGTGGACTAAAGTTAGTGACTGCTTTTTTACTAAAATTAGTCATTCTTGACTAATTCATTTTTAGAGAGTACGTCACTAAAAACCAGTTGTGGTTATTATATTGTTTAGATTGTTTTTTTGTTTCCTTTAGAGTACTTTTATCACTGAATATTTTTTGTGATTTTGTTTGTTTGGTAATTTAATAAATATTTTTAATAATTAATTGAAGCGGTTTTTTTTTCAATTAAATATTGCCAGTTTGACGCAAAATAAATATTTTTCAAATTTAAGGGCTTAAAATTAAAATATTTAATGTATTATATTTAAATATAAAAGGGGCGCCAAACACCCCAGGAACGTGCCTGACCGAACAACAAAGACTAAACAATTTTATTAAACGAAATGAAAAAGAAACCTTGGAAATACTGTATTAATAAAATAAAAAAAATTAAATCGGCTTACTTACTTTATGAAAGGGCTTTTGCCTTACCTTACCTCCTTTCTACTTTCAGCAACAGGCAACACAACAATAAGTTTTTTAACTCGCAAAACAAAAACCCGCCTCGAAAATTAAAATCACAAAAACAAAACATTGGCACGTGTTGCGATCCCGGAGTTAAGGGGCGGTCGGGGTGGACAGTAACACATTGGGGTGGATTGCAATTAAAAATGAGTATGTCGTGGGGCGTAATTTCAAAACATGATGACAATTTTAAATCAGTTAATCGGTTTTAACAAATGTCTATCTTTAGCGTTATTAAATTTTGACGAGAGGACGAAAAGTTTTATACATTAAACGTTGCGAAAGCCCTTTCAGGTGCTTGCAATTTTTGAATAGCCTCAGCGATTCAAAAACATTTCGCACTTAAAAGTAAACTGTCGCACCTGGTAATGTAAATAACTATTACTGACGCGATGAAAAAGAATCTATAACTTGAAAACGCGTTTTACTAATGTTGCCATAGCTTCGGTAATAGACACACGGTGCAAGCCGCAATGTTATATTACATATAAATTGTCTGACAACACCACACGGTGTGCCTGAACAAGTCTCAGGTCACATAAAAATGTCAACCAAAACGGATTGTATTTTTGGAATATGCATCTATTCCTCACTCCAAAATCATATTTTTCAAAATCCTAGCTCATCCTCTTTTTTATTTTTTTGCAATTTTCTGGATTTTTTGCAAAAATTGATGAAGTGGTGTCTAAAATTTACAATTTTAGGCGGACTCCGCTAAAATATTAGTATCAATTTTCAATAAAGAATCAAGAATTAAAATATAACCCTTTATAGGGCAGAATCCAATAAATGTTTTTTTTTTGTTTAGACCCACCTATTTTGGATGTTTTAAGTTATTTTAATGATTATTTTGAAAATCCAACTGTTTTTTTTTAAATTTATTATGGTGGATTAAATGCCCATAAGAAGATATATGGGCGGTGGTCTAAATGAGAACCACATATTTAATTTAATCGTTTTTTTTGCGTTTCTGAAAGGATTTTAGTTTTTTCTCAGGAACAGGTAAAATAATTACATGGTGTATGCTGTAAAAAATTAAATATTTACAAATTGTTCACTGAAAACTGTGTCATTAACCTTATCTGGATACGGTTTTAGTAAATTTAAATTTGTCAAAGTTTCTTTATTAATTGATTCTACCCACTCTTGTGTTTGTGACTATGTTACAGTGGCAAATTTTTATTTTCACTGGTCAATTTTCAAAAATGACCTACCTAATACTGGTAGTTTTCTCTGAATCTGACGAGTTATTGCGATACTGAGTCATCTGAAAGAACATCTGCATCAGAGTCACTTTCACACTCAAATCTATTCAAGATTTGTTTCCTGAAATGTATACTGGATGTTCGCTCACTACGATTACGTAGGCTGGATCGTGCTGAAGTATTGGCAGAAGTTACTTGTAAACATGAAGATGTACTTGGTGAATTCAGACGAAAAGTACTTGGCGACTCTTGATGAGAGGAACTTGGTGTAACTAATGCTCGTCGCTAATCCATAGCCTGATCTTCTGTTATACCAACGACTAGATAAAATAGTTTACTTGAATCCAATTTTTCAAAAAAACAAAAAATACTGGATTCAATACTCTCACGGTATCTGAGCTTGATAGAGGTTGTGTTCTAAAACGATCTAAATATTTCGTTAGCGCTAACCTATTTTCCAAGTACTATTATCACAAGTTGTAAAGCATTCAATTACCTTTTGAATTATATGTGTCGTCAGATAAAAAAAACATGCTTATGCTCGCTAGCAGCAACAATTACTGCAAATGTTACTTTTTCGCAATTTTGTGGGAACAGGCAATGGTTAACATAGAGACCACATTGGTTCTAACAGGTGCCAAATTTAAATTGTGGCCAATATGATACCCACTGCACATTATGAGTTAATTTATTTGTACTTTGGTCGAAGTTTGGGATCTCTCTCATTTCTAAGTAAGCTGTAATGTATGTGGTTAACATAGAGACCATTAACCTATAAAGGGATAAAGAGAGTCGAAAAAAAATCACTATTAATATTTTTCCATTTTTTTTTAATCAATAAATTTTTTAATTTGACAAGAGACTAGAGAAAAAAGTGAAGTTTTTCATAATTTAATTTTTATTAATAATAGTAATCATTTAATTTATTAAACAATAATGATACCTAAAATTACTTTACAGAAAACTATGAATCATTTACAAATTGTTAGAACTAAAGTCTACTACAGCTTTTTTTAAATGTTCACCATAATCAGGATGTTGTACATTGATTTTATACTTATTCCAGTATTTTATAAACTCGCGAAGGATCGACTCCCCAAGCCTCCTCAGACCATGTGCCCAACCCAGCACCTTTCAAAAATCTTATACAATCTTCCGTAGACAATCTTCGTTAGACTAATAGAAGCATTTTTGCGTGAAGATGATGAATTATTAGATTTTAATACTCGAATACTCTTGAGAACTGAAGAAACGACTTGTTCTTGAGTTTTCGGCGTAAATTTTTTTATAATATTGACGACATTTCCATGTCTTTCTGAATTCGTACATATATGTTTTTTTCTTTACCAACTCTTGTGAAACACATTTTGCCCAAAATAATTTTATTTTCGGTATCCTGGGCCCTTTCTTCCTTGTTGTTTTGTATTTCCCCTTCCTCGTGTTACCTTTCTTTAAATCTTGCTGTTGTGCATATTCTGCACGCACACACCTCATTTTGGATATTCCTAGTAGAGTTTGTAATAACATTTTCTTTTCAGTTAAAAACTTGATATTGCTTAGACTATATTTCGGATTACTAAATTTAACAAGCAATCTTTCCAATCTTGAAGTTATTACCATCATGCTATTGAGCACTGATTTTCTTCATGGTTCAATTTAAATCTTGCGTTTGTAGTTATTTTTATTTCAAAAACTTCTCTATAACCAATAGATACTAAACTGCTCGTCATAAAAATCGACGCACCTAGTTTTTTGGAAAATATTTGAAAGCTCGTTATTAGAAAATTACTGAATCGATTTTGAAAATCTTTGGAAATTCTGAATAGCTGATTCTTTGACTCTTATGTCTAATTTTGGGAATACGATATTTTGCACATAGCATTATACTACAGGGAAGAGATGTATTTTTTCCGAAATTTCAAGTTATTCCCATTCATGCGGCAGTTGAGTTTGATAGTCGTAATACCCCTCCCTAATATAAGTAAGGTAATCCCTCGGACCGTTTTCGAGATTTTGTGAATATCGCGGCTTACTACGATTATATGCCAATTTTTCGAAAATTGTCTTTATTTCCCAGTTTAGTCCAAAAAATGAGCAATTGTGGATTCTTTGACTTGCGTCTAATTTTAAGAATACGATATTGTGCACATAGCATTATACTACAGGGTGTAAAAAAAAAGGAAGTGTTTTTTCCAAAATTTCAAATCTCCATTCACAGGGCAGTTGAGCTTGATAGTCGTAATACCCCTTTCTAATAACAGTTAGGTTATCCCTCGGGACGTTTTCGAGATTTTGTGGATATCTTGGCTTACTACGATTATATGGCAATTTTTAGAAAATTCACGTTATTCTTCATTTTAGTCCAAAAAATGAGCAATAGTTGATTCTTTGACTCTTATGTCTAATTTTGGAAATATGATATTGTGCACGTAGCATGATACTACAGGGTGTAAAAAAAAGAGATGTTTTTTTCGAAATTCCAAATCCCCATTCACAGGGCAGTTGAGCTTGATAGTCCTAATACCCCTTCCTAATAACAGTTAGGTAATCCCTCGGGATGTTTTCGAGATTTTGTGGATATCTCGGCTAACTAAGATTATGGTATAGCAATTTTTCGAAAATTGTCGTTATTCTCCACTTAATTCCCAAATATATGCAAACTACTAAAGGTATACCTCGATCGATATATCGATTAGTTATCAACACATCGTATCCACAATTTGCATGTTCTTGTGCCCATCTTCTTCTAGCAGAAAAAAAGGGCAGGCAGCTCTTCGTCTTGCGTGGTATGCAACCTTAAATCCGTCATTTTATTTTTTTAAATGTGCTTTGCTGTTTGAAAAATGTTTTCATATTCGATGACAAAAATGACAAGAACAATTGAAAGGAGGAAACTCAAAACCAAGTATGCGCCATATTTTTTAAACTTTCATAGTCAACCGTTTGTAGAAAATTGCATGAATATAGCCTGCATAAGTTTACGAAAATAATTTTGTTTGGTTTGCGTTTTTATTTTGAATTCCACCGAAAAAAATTGCTTTTGTGTGAAGCATTTCACTTTTAATGATTCACGCAACGTACTTAAACTCAAAGCACGTGACCTACCTATGCTGTGTTAATACCTTCTGTAGTTTGCTCATTTTTGGGACTTAAGTGAAGAATAACGTGAATTTTCGAAAAATTGCCCTATAATCCAAGATATCCACCAAATCTCGAGAATGTCCCGAGGGATTATACCTGTTATTAGGAAGGAGTATTATGACTATCAAGATCAACTGCCCTGTGAATGGTGATTTGGAATATTGGAAAAATCATCTCTTTTTTTAACACCCTGTAGTATAATGCTATGTGCACAATATCGTATTCCCAAAATTAGACGTTAGTCAAAGAATTCACTATTACTCAACTTTTGGACAACTGGGTAATAACGACAATTTTCGAAAAATTGTGATATAATCGTAGTTAGCCAAGATATCCACAAAATCTCGAAAACGTCCCGAGGGATTACCTAACTGTTATTAGGAAGTGGTATTAGGACTATCAAGCTCAACTGCCCTGTGAATGGGGATTTGGAATTTTGGAAAAAAACATCTCTTTTCTTCTGTAGTATAATGCTATGTGCACAATATCTTATTTTCAAAATTAGATGGAAGTCAAAGAATCCACTATTGCTATATTTTTTAGACTAAACAGGGAAATAACGACAATTTTCGAAAAATTGGCATATAATCGTAGTAAGCCTCGATATTCACAAAATCTCGAAAACGTTCAAAAGGATTACCTTACTTAAATTAGGGAGAGGTATTACGACTATCAAAATCAACTGCCTCATGAATGGGAATAACTTGAAATTTCGGAAAAAATACATGTCTTCGTTTAACACCCTGTAGTATAATGCTATGTGCAAAATATCGTATTCCCAAAGTTAGACATAAGAGTCAAAGAATCAGCCATTTAGGATTTCCAAAGATTTTCAAAATCGATTCAGTAATTTTCCAATAACGAGCTTTCAAATATTTTCCAAAAAACTAGGTGCGTCGATTTTTATGACGAGCAGTTTATTAACTGTTACTGATAACAAATTACTGCGTATAAGTTGTTTTTTCGCTGAGGCATGACCTGCTTTGTTTAAAAAATTGCTTGGAGCTGTGTAAGCGTGGTAATTGCACGATTGCACCTTTTTTCTTGCAGCCGTATTTTGAATAGCTACAGAAATTAAAATGTAATTTAAACTAGAGATTCTCTAGTTTCATTCCGATCTTATCCTATTCACCCAACGGATATCCATTTTTGAGTGAGTATTGATTTATTTAATATATATTAAATAGATCAATACTCACTCAAAAATGAATCTACCAATTATATAGAATGACAATCATGTTATAAATCTAATTTAATTAAGCCGATATTCATTTTCTTGTTTTTTTTTAAATTCAGAAAATTGCAAAAAAATAAAAAAGAGGATTAGCTAGGATTTTAAAAAATATGGTTTTGGAGTGAGGAATATATGCATATTCCAAAAATACAATCCGCTTTGGTTGACATTTCGCAACGGCAAACCCCCTTCTAGTCTAAGAGTTTACCAAATTAAGGATTTAATTTAAAGGTTAAAATTTGAAAATATTTTTAGTGAAAAAGACCAAAAACTAAATGTACCCAATTAAAAATTAACTGCGATAACGTTAGATTAATTGTCCGTCAGCAACGTTTAATTCTGTATGTCCAAAGTGACCGCTGCGGCATCATCAGCGTGGGGAACTGGGGGGCACCGGTCGGCGGGAGGGGTCAGGAAGCAAGTCAGCAGATGACCTGATTGCAATAATTGCTCCCCGGTCGCCGCCCCCGCAGTCCTGTGGCCTAACCGCACGACCTAACATAACTATTACCGCCACTGCATCATGACTTTTCGAATTACCGTTATCAACTCGTGCAATTCCACTCGTTAATTTTTGATTTTGCGAAATTTGTACCCCGAATTGCCGACACTGCTGCCTTATTGTCTTATTGGGCGATTTCTTCGTTTTACTGCAGCTTTTAGAGCAATTATATGCATTGGGTTAAGCAAGTAACTGAATTTTAAATTGAGAATATTTTATTAAAATACATTGTATTTAAAAGTTAAAGTCTGAGTATGAGTATGAGTATGGGAACGTATGGCAGGCCCCGCTACTAATCTCCAGAGTTATTTACCCCCTTTCCGTTCTCCTGCGTATCCCGCCAAATCACAGCTTTACCTGTGTTTGTTGGATCCGAAGTTTTTACGCCGGCTGGTAGATCCACCCTAGGAGGTCGTGGAAGACATGGTTAAGGCCGCTCCACGGATTTTTGTCAGCTGGGTCGGGCCATACGTCCAGTTTGGGAAGGGTTTTTGGAGGACATTAAACTGACCCAAAACTAAGTACAATCCGGAATCCTCCTCAACCTGGGACTTAGTAATAACCCCTTTCAATTGGGATTCATGAATGGGGGTAGAAGTGTTATTACGCTGCTAGAACCTGTCCTTGTTGGTGTATTTCTGAACATCTCTGTCCGAGTCAGTATCAGGTTCCTGGTAACCTCTTTCGAATTGTTTGCCCCCCTGTGTGATACTGAGTCTTGTCTTCCGTACCCAAGTCCCCGGTAGCACACCGACGTCTGCCGACGTTTAAATGACGTCTTCTGATATCATTTCACTGTCATTTAAACGCCAGCAGACGTCAGTGCGCCACCTGGGGTGCCGACGGCCATGACACACCGTAAGTGCCCTCTGCCTTGGTGGATATTCCTCCTGCCGAGTGCCGGCTACCAACCTTGTATATTCTTTATTTATTTTATTGCTAAATTAGTGTGTATGCCGTTTTCATTTAATTTATATCTTTGCATTGTTACTTTTTTTTCCAAATTTAATTTAAAAATTTAAATATTAATATACAAAATAGATAAAGCCAGCCCTGTAGTGTATGTAATTGGAGTGCAACCATGTGGTCTGCATTGGCTATTAATAGGGTCGTTCTTCTTATCTTCTGTGTTCTTCTTGTATTGAGCTTGTATTTATTTGGCTTTGATGTATGGCCATAATCTTAAATGCATATACAATATTACTTATTACACACAACACTTATTTATGATCTAAATTTTTTGTCGTCTTGCTTGATATGGTTTATTTACTCTTACGCCTTTTTCAATTTAGTTGAGTTGTTTATGGTTTATATACTCTGAGCAAATGAGGTTGTTATTTAACACACACGGAAATGTTGTCTTATTTTTTAAAATTTAGTTTTTGAGACGATAAAAGAATTCTTAGTCAAACAATGAAATCTTGTACATTTTTGTAGTAGTAAAATTATATTCAAAAACTGTACGAGTTTACTTTAAAGACTGTAGGTATCATTCGACTTTTAAATTAACAATTATGCGCATTGGGCGTATTGAATGTACCAAAAACTGTTCATTTAATTTAAACTTGAACTAGTTTACTTTTCTCTGTGTTTCTGAAGCCAGATGACATTTGGCAACATTGCGAAATTCCGTATAAACATTTAACGATTATTCGATAAGACATGCAATTAGAAAAATTACTTAGCTTGATTATTAGGCTATAATCCTGATGCTTTGTCTTTCACGGGTTGTCCATTGTTACTTGACCTCGCCTAAAGGTTTTTGGCACACTTTGATTGTGGAAAATCTCTGATCCACGTGGACCGGTTGGCTTATCGTTGTGGCCTAGCCTTAATTACTTATTTACTTGCACACTTTTACGGCGTTAACCGGGGTCCTACCGCACTTTTCGCACTTGTTGCACTTTTCGCACTTGTTTTTTTATTTATATATATTAGGGTGTGCCAAAAAACCTCGATATTTTTTTTTCTTGCTCTCCACCCAAAATATCGTAGAATATGTCCGAACAAATATTCTGTTAAAAGCGGAGCTCATAATTTCAATTTTAAGAGGTCCTCCATCGAATCTGAAGTTTTGCCGCTTAAATAACAGAAAACTGACTTTTTTACCTTATTTATTCTTGCAACCTAGGAAGAATTTTTTTTTTCATAAAATCCATGACTAATTCTTACAAAGCATTAAATTTGGACAAAAAAATCTTATTAAGCTGAATTTCTATTTTCAATATTTGATTTTTTACAGAGCTTTAAATTTAAAGTTAATAATACAAAAATGATGACTTTATACGCCTGTAACTTTAAGAATATTGACGATACAAAAAATTTGCCTAAAACTTTTTTGTGGTCCATCAGACAAGCTAAAAAATTGCCATTTGACTTTTTCGTCTAACTTAAATAGTTTAGCTGAAAAAGGCAAAAAACGTAAAATTTTAAATTTAAAGCTCTGTAAAAAATCAAATAATGAAAATAAAAATTCGGCTTAATAAGATTTTTTCTTCCAAATTTAATGCTTTGTAAGATTTGGTCATGGTTTTTATGAAAAAATTTTTTTTTCCTAGGTTGCAAGAATAAATAAGGTAAAAAAGTCAGTTTTCTGTGTTATATAACAAAATATTTAAGCGGCAAAACTTCAGATTCGATGGAGGACCTCTTAAAATTGAAATTATGAGCTCCGCTTTTAACAGAATATTTGTTCGGACATATTCTACGATATTTTGGGTGGAGAGCAAGAAAAAAAATATATCGAGGTTTTTTGGCACACCCTAATATATATATTAATTTATTAATAATATTCTACGAGCAAACTAAGAGCTTGAATGATAAACAGCTAAAAATAAGTTTTGATGACATTATCTTTAAGAAGAAAAATATTAAAAAAAAATAAGAAAAATAATATATTAAGTAAAACACTTAATTTTTATTAGGGTCAGTTTAATTTTGCAAGGGTTCTTAACACAACATATAAAACAAATAAATTCTCGAAACCAAGCCATAATTCATTATGTCATTTTCTCCTTTTACTGGATATTTTAAACAAATTTGCATTTTGATTGATAGCAAGAGGTAAATCACTGATTTTTTTTAAATTAAAAATCGTATACTAATTATCCCAAGGGTAGCCATTCGCGAATAAGGAAAAATCAGAGCACGTCTATATAACGCTGAACGTTTTCTCGCTGATTTTATAGTGGTTTACCCAGCGATTAATAATTTCTTTGATATTAAGAAAATTTTAAAATGAAAAAAAGTAAAATAATAAACGCAAATATTAAAAATTGGTAAATTAAATATTGATGTGGAAAAATGATAATAAAATAAAAAGTTGACAAGCTAAAATAATTATAAGGTGCAAATATTACATCTAAACTATCTAAATCTACATCTTAAATTATATTAACCAAAATAGAAGCTAAAATGTTGACAATGTAAAATGATAACATATAAATTACAATCACAATAAACTGGCCACAAATTATAAAAGATACTGGCAGCTTCATGACAATTATATTAAATGACAAGTTTATTTAAGAAGTTAAGCTAAAGTATAGTATATAGAGTATAAGGAAGGTGTACCTGGCCCCATCAGCGTCATCATACATTGGTCTCCCAGGGTTATTTTTACCCCCTTTTGGTTCTTATACGACAGTGCCGATGGTTAAGACCCCTCCCGGAATTTTGTCGCCGGGCCGGTCTATACCCACGATTAGGCTAGTGGAGTTTGGGAGAAAGAGAGAAAATTTTTTGGTTTTTAGGGGACTGACCCAAAACTAAGTACAATCGGGAATCCTTCTGAACCAGGGATTTAGTAACTCCCACATTTAATTGGGGTTTATGATTGCGGCTTGGTTGGTAAATACGCTGTAGGGGCCTTCTTGAGGTACTTCTTGGTCTGCGTCCGTGGAGCTGAAAATTCGGAAACCGCTGTACACGATTAGTTTGCCTCACTGCGAAAACCGTTACTTGACTTTATTACCGAAAGCGAGTTGTTCGTGTTACCGCTCTGCCTTAGAGGAAGTTCAAGTGCACATTCCAAGTCTGACTTCAGAGAAGATTGAGCTATATTTGCAAATCTTTGTTTACTTAGGAACCGATGCACACAGTTTATTTTACCCCTTTGTGCGTTTGTCTATTAGATTATACGTACTTTATGGAGGTGACCACTTTGGTTTGGTTTTTGTAAACAAGCTTTGTAGGCGCCGAGTGTTTATTTATTAGTTTAAACGTGGTTTAGTGCTTTAGTCATGCGATTAATTAAATGTACTTATCAGCCTCTGTAGAAGTCCCTTAGTCCCTCGTTTCGCTTTTGTTTCCCATAGTGATATTCAGGTATGCATAAGAAGTGATAACGCTGGCAAGTGGTAAAGCCAGGTACGGGGGATTGTCAGTTATACACTTATTTGTATCCGTAATATTTTTCACTATATTACTGCACTTTTGGTTTGGTGGTCTATTATCGACTACTCTGAACGAAGGAACGAGTGGTACTAATAAGTTAAGCTAAAATGCCTACTATCAAATTAAAATTATTACAAGCTAAAATCACAACATAAACTGAGCTTAAAATGTAAGTAAAAAAATGAATAACCCAATAATTGGGTTAGTCATTTTTTTACAATAATTATTTACAATAACAACAAGCTTCAACAACAACATTAAGGGATTATAAATTAAGGATTTTTATTGATTTTTGTAGGTAGTAATAATTTGATTAAACGAACTCTAAAGTATGCAATAGTATATATACGGTTGTGTATACCAAGTTTGGAAACAAATGATTTTGCAAAAAAATTTGGAGATATTATTTTCAAAAACATCGACTTTCGATGTTTTGGGGTAAAAAGCAATATAAATTATTGTCCAAATAAAAATTCCTTTGTTCACTAAGCAGCTATTGTAATTAGGAACATATATAGGTCAATTCTGGGTTCTCTCGTAAAATTTCTGTAAATTCGTAAATCTATAGCTTACGGTGATCTGTAACTATAATGCTTATAGAATCGTAAAAGTGGCAATTCTGGGA